ACGAAATATTGAGCTATAATATGTGATGTGGGGGGGGGATAATTATGGAAAATAGGGCTCTCATAAAAGCATGTGATTTAATTGAAAAGTAATGAGTTAAACGTCTAAGATGAATATCAATACTAATGAATAGATTTGTATTATTTTTGATAATATAGTATAATTTTAGAATGTACCAGACAGAATCCCAATGTATGTTATGTATTTTATATTAAGTACTATAAATATAAGGGAAAAAGATAAAAGCATCATACTCCATATAGTGTACAGGAGAAGTATTTCTTCTTTTTTTTAAAGAAGAAAAATAAATGATTGGCTGGAATAGAACAGACAAAGAATAATAAATATTAGGATATGAATTGAGAGGAGGAAAAAAAATTGAGAAAATTTAAAGGAGAGGAGAAGTTATATAGAAAATTGAAAATGTTAATAAGATATGAAATGGTATGTAAAATGAATATGAAACTGAACTTGTGTCTGTACCAAGAGTTTTAACCCGGGACTAAGCAACTTTCAGAAAAGAGATTTTTTATGCTTTTATGTTTTGTGTTTATGTGTATTTATGTATTGTTTGTTTTGAAAATAAAACTTTTTTTTTTAAAAAAAAAAATTGTGATAAATCTTCTAGAATTCTCAGATTATCACTAATTAGAAAAAAATCCATCTAAAATAGAAAAGTGAAAATAATGCTGTCATAAGTATAGGTTTTGGTAATCCCATCATTACTGAAAGTTCTACTATAATTTCTTTTTATATGCATGTGGTTCGTTGTTTAGCTATTTTTGTATATTATTGTTTTATTTTCTGGTCTAATGACAATTAGTTGCAAAATGATTTAGTATGTTTCCCTGCCTGACATCTTTGTAGTTGAAAGTAACTGAATTGCTCATGTTCTTCTATAAGTTAAAGGAGTTTTTGTTCTGCATTTTTCAAAATTTGTGAATGTTTGATGTATGTGAACATTTATCAGCACTCAGGTTGCAAACCTTAAGATTCCACGAGAATGGATATTTAGTTGGCCAGCCTACAGCTGAAATTGGATGTTTGACCCAATACTGAAGGTCTCTCTTTCAATTGCTAAAGCACCAACTTGGCAACCCTTGTGATAGTTACTTTTTGTCATGTATTCTATGTATCCAGTACCTTTGAGTCAGCCTTACCCATGCAATTCTCTTGGCAACATTTTTTAAAAATCTCCCAGTTGTTGGCCTGGTATCTTTAACCTTTGCACCCAACTGGGTCTCTTATGACACTATTTTAATTCAGGAATATATTCAGGAATCCAAAGGGCATTCATTCATTCATTCATTCATTCATTCATTCATTCATTCATTCATTCATTCATTCATTATCTTCATTTGTTCATTCAGTCTTCATCTGTTCGTTCAAAACATTTGTATATCTACCCATCTGATGTATCTTCTATTCAGTGGTGGGATTCAAAACTTTTTACTACTGGTTTTGTGGGCGAGGCTTGGTGGGTGTGGCAGGGGAAGGATACTGTAAAATCCCCATTCCCTCCCCACTCCTGGGGGAAGGTTACTGCAAAATCCCATTCCCTCTCCACTCCAGTAACCTGCTTTCCAGCTCCATTCTCCTGTGCAGGGCAACAAAAGAAGATGCAGCTGATCAGCTAGGACTCAGGAGGCAGAGAATAGATGGGGGCAGGGCCAGTCAAAAATGGTATTTGCCGTTTTTCTGAACTACTCAAAATTTCCACTACCCGTTCTCCAGAACTGGTCAGAACCTGCTGAATACCACCTCTGCTTCTATTTAATTTGACTGTACCTACCCTCTTTATGCTGGTCTATGACCATAATAAAGATTTGACGTGACTGGTGCTGCAACCATACATTCCTGCTGCCACCCATCACATTCTCTTTCTATTATGACCTTACCCTATCCCAGCATCTGGAGAAAGAGCCAGGTCTTGAGTGCTGTGTGGAGGGTTAAAGAGTGGGGGCCTGCCAGTCCCACAGGAAGAGGATGCAACAGAAAAGGCATGTGTTTTTTTTTTCATATCAAGCTACTGATCCATTTGTTCTCTTGCTATTCCAAATCTGACAAAATTGTTCTATTGTGCTCCCAGTGTGGATTCTGTAATTTGATTGTGAGCAACAACATTATTCATTTTGAAGATTCTAAAGCTGTTAACCTTTTTGACAGAGGGGTGTAGATAACTTTCACTCAAAAAGGCATGGCTTATTTTGTTACTTTTTAAAAAAAAACTTGTCTCATTGATGCTAGGAGGAAACAATTAAATTCTGAAATGCTTCATTTTTGTACTCCAACATAAGATTTCTAGAGGTAAAAAGCATGGACTGCCACTTTTCACTCCACAGATATTAAGAAAACTAAGAATCTAAACCCCAAGGTTGGACCATTGGTTTTACCCCAGAGGAAAACTCTTCTTCCCCTGCAGCATCCAGCAAGCTCTATAGGACTCCAGCCAAAAGATAGCCAGAATAAAACTGTAGACCAAAAGACATTGAATTGTATCATGATTGCTCTTAGATCCCACTTTCCAAAAGATGGTGTGCTGTAGTGTGACCTTCTGCAGTTTGTGGTTCAGATAAGTATCTGTGCTTTTTCCAAATGGAAAACTTTTACATTTTCATTGTTCTTCTAGTGCCTAGAAATACACATCTGAACAGAAATAATATTATCTCATGTGAATACTACAATTACATACTTGCATAATGTCTAATACAAATACGTAAACTGAGGCATTTAGAAGATGCAATTATGCACGCACAGTCAATCCCCCTGCACTGAAGACATCCATTAATATACTAAGTCCCGAGAATGTTGCCTCTTCAGACACAAGGTAGCCTGCTATGCAGACCAAAGGGTAGCACTACTAAGCAGTTGTATAGCTAATGTGATTGTGGACGCTTGAAAATTCTTTTCATTTTCAGGAAGTTTAGAACTGTTGTGGAGGGAACAAAGAAGATAGATTTTCTTGCTTCTGAGAGATTCCAGACATGTAGTTGATAGAAAACATTCTCCCCATAGAGGTGAACAATGTACTGGTGTAGTGTACAGGCTGGCAGAGTCTTCAAGGAAGTTTTTTTTTTTTTTTTGATATGTTGTAGTGTCAACTTGATCAGAACATTAGTGAAGACCAATAAATAACCTATACTAAACTGAAACAAGCTCAGCTAAAGACCAATCAGAAATCAGCTCATCTGCTTACAAAGATAGGCCAATCAGTCCCTGCTCAATTGTCCAATGGACCACCTTGCTTCTGAAGATAACAGGCACAGTTGCCAGCAGGAAATCTGTCTGGTCTACAGTTATTAAATCCTGAATCTCAACACTGCCTAGCTGATGATAGTGGTGGTGGAAATCACACATGTTTATACTAAGAGAAAGTTTGTATTACTTCTTCTGATGGAAAAAGAAACCTTACAAACTTAATTTTGCAATTAAATTACAAGAATATTCTGGAATTGCTGCAAAATAATTTGAGAATTAAAGTACTAAATGATCCTTCAAGAGTAATTGCAAATTTTATTACATGTTTAAAACATCAGTAGAAAAAAGCAATAGTATTTACAATCAGTAGAAATTTACATATTTACAGATCACAAATTTAAACAGATATGAGCTGAAAATAGAAATCTAGTAATTAAAGCAACATGAAACTACATACCTTATTCTCATATTTGAGTATGATTTTACTATAAGAAAAATAATTCTATATTTACACATTGTATTTTAAAATCTCTGAATTTTAATATTTCTAAATTGAATTTTTAAGCAATTTAACTTGCTTTTATACAATATTATATGCTATATCCTGATTTATGTTATCTGCTGTTTATTTTAATATTAATTTCTTAGATGTTTTTCTTTCACTTCTTAAATTTGTATAGTAATGTAAATACAGTCATGAGAAAAATTTACATATTAGCAAACCACTGTGAAAAATTAAATAAATGTAGTAAGATACGTTTTCAAGAATTGGCAGATGATCTCTAATTTGAAATGGAAGAATAGACTTCCAGCTCTACGCTTCACTGTTTCAAAATACACGATTTAAATACAATTGACACAGCACAGAACTTCATGTAAGTTATTCTATTCATATCATTCCTATTACTTATTTGAACAAGTCCACTAAGTTAATAGATAGCCTAAGACTCAACTGAATCTCAGATGCCAACAAGTTATGCAAAGGTCAGAAGCCATTTCTGACAGGCTTATGGCACCATTTCTCATTTGGTCATTAAGCAAGACATTATGTGACTTATATGACTTGCAATTTTACTTCTGCACTCTCCATTAACTCTGCTTGTCAGAAGCGAGTTGTGAAACATGTGAATGGTGATCATGTGACTGTGGGACGTTGCAATGGTCATAAAAGCAAGGACTGGTCTAAAACTGGTATTTTTATACAACTGGCTGTTGTAACTTTGAACGGTCCCTAAATAAAGCATTATTCCCTCTCTAGTTTCAATAGTTGAGTGGAAGTTTCATTACAACAAAAAAGATCCCAAGAGAGAACTTTCATTTACTTTCCTTGGAATTTGTATTTCTCCTTTTCCTTCTCTTTCCCCTCCTCCTTTCTCCCTTTGCAAAATTCAGAGTTAATTGCATAAATGCTACCAACCTTTACATTTTTTCAGGATTCTAAAAGATCACTGGCATATGCATTTTTGAAAAAACAGATAATATTGGGTATGTACAAGTAGTCCTCAACTTACAACAGTTCATTTAGTGACCGTTCAAAGTTATGATACTGAAAAAAGTGGCTTATGACCATTTTTCACACTTACAAACTTTGTAGCATCCCAATGATCATATGATCAAGATTCAGATGCTTGGCAACTGGGTCATACTTATGACTGTTGCTGTGTCCCAAGGTCACATGATCCCCTTTTGCAACCTCCTCCCAAGCAAAATCAATGGGGAAGCCAGATTCACTCAACAATCAGGTTACTAACTTATCAACTGCAGTGATTCATTTAACAGCTGAGGCAAGAAAGGTCGTAAAATGGGGCAAAACTCACTTAACAAATGTTTCACTTAACAACATAAATTTTGGGCTCAATTGTGATTGTAGGTCGAGGACTATCTGTATTAAATTTCACAATTTCAGTTTTCTTTCCCATAAAACCAGAGTAATTGGTTGCTTCTCTCTTTACAAGCAACACATGCACATTCATCTATTTTTTAATTTTTTTGTAAACCTCATCACTACCTCTGAATGAAGTTAGTGGCATGGGACAAATGTGATGGATGAAAGGTTACAGCTTTCACTGAATTGATGGCCCTACTGGATTGCTGGGAACAATATCATATGATATTCTGGCACTTGCAAAGGTTACTAGAGCTTGGGTTGAATTACATGACTGTTTCTCTGCATCCTCTGAATTGACAGAAACCAAACTAGCATCTTTTGCTTTTTTCCATCCAAATGACTGCTTTTGAAAGCTTCTCAGGTCCTTCCTGAAATGAGGATTAAAAAGTATGTAGAGAAGTGGGTTTAGACATGCAGGAAGGGGAACAATCACTAAAAGTATTGGTTTGATGACTTCAGGGCCAATAAAACGAAGGTTTAATAATGATGAAAATGATAAGATGGCCACAGGACAATAGAGAATGCAGTTAATAAAAAGTAATAAGGCTATGTGTTTGATCATGGAACAATCCAGAATACTATCCATTTCTCCCTTGTCCAGACTACAGTAGAGTTTTGTGTATGCTACTGTCATTACAAGAAAACAAAAAGAGTTCATTAAGACCATTGCTACTGTATAACCCACACCTGATAGTCTTCCAAAAGGTAGTGGTATGCATAAGGGAGAACCTCCATATTCACTGTCACTAAGCACTGGAATCACAGCAATTATTAAAGCCAGTACAAAACAAAAGATGATGGCTATTTTTATATTAGCTAGAGTGTGTTCAAATTTTGTTCTATATTTCACAGAAAACACACGCTCAACAGTTGCTAAGGTGAGCAAGAAAATAGAAGCCTCTGAAGCAAAGACAGAAAGAATTCCAATGATATGACAAACAATTCCATCTTCCCACCAAGTTCCATATTGAGCAAAGTCTCCATAGGTTAATGCATCCACACTAGCAAGCACACTGCTAGACACAACCATGAGAGTATTCACAATAGCTATTTGTCCAGTTATAAACTTTATGGAGGAGATGAACTGTGGAACTTGGAAGATTGTTGCAATCACCAGTATATTACAAATAAAGGCTAAAAATATTAAGGTCCAAACTCCAACTCTGATCAGCCAACTACCAAAGAGGCAATCACAGGGCTTGAAAGGTCCTACAAAAAAATAAAGAAAAAGTAAAGTCATGGTAAGCTTATCTATGTCCAATTTTCATAACTTTTTGTGGTGACTGCACAGATAATAGACTATAGTGAGGATAATTAGTGAGAAACAGAAACAGCCTTGGTCACACTTGTCGATCTTTCATAAGAAAGGGATCAGGCAGTGCATCCATCCTTACTCTCTTTGACCTGTCAGAGGCCTTCAACATCATTGATATCCCTTGGGGTCAGCTGTGAGATCTGGGGCTGGGCAATGCAGTCTTTCATCGGTTTGTCTCCTTTCTCCAAGTATGGTCCCAAATGGTATTGATAGGGAGTGAGAGGTCCAGCCCAAGGCTTGCTCCTTTGTGGTGTAGCACAAAGTTCAGACTTTCTGCATTCCACTCTCCATGAAGCTTCTGGGTGAAATAAACTGCTATCATGGGATGAGGTCCTATCAATATGCCAATGATACTCAACTTCATATCTTCATCCCTGGTGACCCAATAATGTATCACTACTCTTCCATTGTGCCTGGAGACTGTATAGGGGACAATAAGCTTTTGAAGAACCCTGGTAAGATTGAGTAGCTTTAAGTGAATGAAGTTTCAGGATCTGGAACATCTGTAGTTCTGGATGGGTAACATTGCCCCAGACAGACCCTGAGCGCAATTTGGGGGCTTTCTTGGACTCCCAGTTCTTACTCAATGAGCAGGTGGAAGTCATGTCTAGGAGAGCTTTTGCACAACTTCGTGTTGTGCATCAGTTGCACCCTTTCCTCAATTGTGAATTCCTATCCTCAGTGATTCAGATTTCATGTCTGGACTATTGCAGTCTGGACTATTGTCTACATGGGGCTATGAAGCTTCAGCTGGCATAGTATGCAGCTATGTGAATAGTTCTTGGGGCCCATAAGGTGGTCCATGTAACACCATTGTTGGGCAAGATGCACTGGATGCCAGTTTGCTTCTGGATCAAATTCAAGGTGTTGGTCATTTCCTTTGAAGCCCTTTTATGGCATCAATCCAGGTTACCTAAGGAACCATCTCCAGAGGGATTGACCTGCCTCACCGACACTGGCAGAAAGAGCATGCTGCACACCTCGTCAGTGAAGGAATTCTGGCTGGTGGGATCTGGAAGAAGAATCTTTTCTGCTGTGGCTCCTGCCCTCTGGAATATCATTCAGCTCAAGGGGACACACCACACTGTTGCCTTTCATGGGGCCTTAAAATCTGGCTCTGCCAATTCACCTGAGGATCCGATGAGGGCATGTCATACTGGTGGTGATTAATGGATTGAGAGAAAAATTCTATCTCCTCCCCATTTGCACTTTGCTTCTTTTTTGTGAATTTTAATGTTAATTTTGTTAATATTTATTATCTTAATTTTTAAATATTTTCTCGTGTTTTTTCTTGGTTGCAAGCATCCTAGAGTCACCTCTGACTATTAAACAGTTTCAAGCCTTATTTATGCAAAAAAAAAAAAATTTAAAGCAAATTTTATTAATTTCAAAGACAAACAAATCATCATCAACCAT